TATATATATATATATTAAAAGCCCATACTTTTACCCTCAGTTTTAATAGTGGGAACCTTGAAAGTTGTCGTGTTGTGCATGAAAATAACACACTTAATAAAAAAGTATATCTATATACAAATATATATATATATATATATATATATATATATATATATATATATATATATATATATATATATATATATATATATATATATATAATAAAAAGCCAATTAAAGACTTTGCTATTCTTAGTTTTTAAATTTTTTGCAGATTTGAATGCTACTTTTTCGAAAAAATGACAACCAACTCGTTTATTGCCAGTTATTTATATATAATAATAAATTTCTCTTTACCTCTGAAACACCAAACTTGACAAAGAAGACTGCTAATTGGCAAAACAAATTACTAACCCAGTTCTACAAAGTTGTAGTTAAGAGTTTTATATATATTTTATTAAATATGTATAAGGAAATTTGACAACAAAACATCATGTTATACATCACTTTTTAGAATTTTAGTAATGGTAAAACAGTTTAAAGCTGAAAAAAGTTATAAAAAAATGATTTATTACATAAAAAAGAAACAAAAAAGTTTAAATAAATCAAAGACATATTTTTATTAGCTTGGCATCTAAACTTAATTTAAAAGTTTTTTTTTGTAAAGAGAACTTTATTATATCATTTAGAGATTTCAAATTCACCAGAAAAATCTGCCGCATTTTCTGCCATTAAAGGTAATTTTAATATTTCGTTTATCTAAATTTACTAAACATTTACTATAGTTTAAAAAAGTTTGCAACAATCAGGTCTTAATGTGTTTTGTTTGTATAAAAAGCTTATTAGAAAAGTGTGTTGTATATTTATTGATAGTATGACCTTCAAAGTACACCAAATTTTTAATTTAAAGTTTTTTACCTTTCTTTTCATTTTTATTTTATTTTTTTTTATCTTATTAGCAGACAAATCCTTTTTACATATTGAACATTAATTTTTAAAATATTTTTTATTACAGTGTTACTGGAATAATATATATGAAACTTTTTTTTTTTTTGTATTCTTTTAAATACAAGAATAAATTTTTCTTCTTTGTAACTTCTATAAAACAAAAATTTAATAATTTTTGAATAAGTATCTATTTTTATGTTTTCTAATTACTATTAAATATTTGTTTAACTTCATTAAGTTGTATTTTTATATGTTAGCTTGTTTATCATTGTTATATTTATCTAAGTTAAGAGAATTTACCATGTCTGTTAAAATTTTTAGAAGAAGCAACATCACAACTTTGCACAAGTTACTAACCACAAATAACTTTTTAGTTAAATAGCCAATCACAATTAAACCTAATCTTTTCAGTTATGAATAAAGCTTCTAATTGTTTAACATTTATAATTATATATGGAATATTTTATATTTGCACTAATTATTGAAATCAGATAATTTAAATCAGACAATAATTTTATAAATACTTGTATAGCAATTTATAAATTAACAAAATAATAAATAGTCCATAGGTTGTAATTTTTGATTGTTCATCCTATATGTCTATCATTACTTTATTCATTTATTTACTGTTGCTAGAAGCTATTCTAGAGAAATTTTGTCTAATGCAAAAGCCGCTATTCTTGAATCACTAAATCATGTATTTCATCTCAAAAATGAAGCTCCAAAAACTTCTGGAGAATCTTTAACATTGGATCGAATCTTTTATTCCATTTCTCGTGCATGGTTTAGATTTTTTTTATTTTATTTATTTTTTGTCTTTATTTTAAATTCGATCATAAATTATAATTGTTTTTAAGTTTGATTAAAATATTTTAGCACTTAAAAGATACTGCGAAATAAAACTCATTTTTTGGACTTTTAATTTTTTAGAAAAAAAGGTGAAAAAAAAAAGATTTAATTTGATTTGTGCATTCCCATTTCATGCGAACCTGTTACAAAATATTGGTTAATAAAACTAACAGTGTTAATAAATCTGAGGTTAAATTAACTGACTAAAAACATCAAAGTAAGAGCAGTGCAAGGTGGTTCAAAAAACAGCATTTTAAAAAGCATATGTATTTGTACCCTTAATTAATTCAATTTAATAAAATAATTTATTAAAAAATATTTTTAGAGGTAGTACCATACTCTTAACATCAGTCATTTGTTAATTAAATAAATTGCAGTAATTTTTATGGAATGTGGCATAATTCTTTATGTAAATACATTCATGGTGTAGGCAAATTGTTGTATTATTATTCATTTCAATCCCAACATTTTATATAGGGTTTAATCCAGGAGAGTTTTCTGGCCAATCAAGTAATGAAAAATTCTATTCTGATAGATATTTTTTAATTGATTAAACTGTATGATATGGTGCCCTGTTCTGCATAAAAGTTTTTTTTTCAGCTGGACCAAACCATTCTGCCAATTATGGCAACAATATTTGTTCCAGGACTTTTTTATATTGCAACTGATTAATTATTCCCTAGATATTATATTGCATCCCTATTCCCCTTTTAAATATCATAGACCAGATCATCACAGAAGTGGGGTGTTTAACAATTTGAACGATAAAGTTCAATAAGTTTTTTTCCCTTTTTTTTCTCCTTTACATATTGATCCTTCTTTGATAACACTTGAAAAGTACTCTTGTTGCTAAAGTATACTTTAAAATATTATATAAAGACTGTTAAGTAAATCTTTTTTGATGTAAAGTTTGAAGTAAGAAAATGAATATTTTAAAATCATTTGAATTAATATTATTGATTTTATTGATCTAACCATCTTTCATTAAATTTCTGTATTTTTTTGCCCACTCTAGCTTTTTTTGCATTAATTTTGGTGTCAGTTTAGGTTTTTTAGTTGAACGTCATAAAATTTAATAAAGATTAAGATTACAGTAATTCACTTTAATTAGAGTTAGGGTAAAACATCTAGTACTCCCCATCCACTCTTATGCCTCTTGGTATTTATAATTCACCTCTCCATGCTATTTGGTCTTAAAAAAGATTGTGTCTTAATTTATAAAATTGTCAAAGTTTTAGTCAGTTATGTTGCAAACATTAGAGTTTTTTTTACACATGATTTCAGAAGTTTTTAGCTATTATTTTTTAGCCTGCATGTTTTTTAGTGACCAAGTGGCAATAGCTAATTGCATGGCAAGTACTGAATATTTTACTCTAGTGGTTTATTGTAAAATTTTAGAAAATCTCAATAAAAAATCATGTCAAAAGTAATAAAATTTCATTTTCAAATTTGAGTGGCCAACCTGTAACAGCACCACAAAAGAAAAAAAAATACATAACAATATAAACAATAGAGAGAAATATATGTAAGTAAAAGTTATATACAGATATACATGATAATATAAACAATAGACAGAAATATATGCCAGTATAAACAATGTACAGATATACATGACAATATAAACAATAGACAGAAATATATGTAAGTATAAGTTATATACAGATATACATGATAATATAAACAATAGATAGAAATATATGCCAGTATAAACAATGTACAGATATACATGACAATATAAACAATAGACAGAAATATATGCAATATCTATAAAATGTTTACAAACAACAATAAATTTTTTTAAGCATGTCTAATTTTAAGATATAGATAAAAATGATTCAACTTTTGCCTGACATTTTCCTTAATTCCTGACCATCTTTTCATAAATTAAAAAAATAGATCTCATTCAGCTAAAGTAGTAGAAAAGTGAGTAATAGTAGAGTGAATAGATCATAAATGAAGTATTTCATGGACTATGCCACCTAAAGAAAAATAAAAAAACCGAGTGATATCCAGGGTCAGAAAAAAGACACAAATCAAGGGGTAAAGTTAAGTGATTAGTCTTGAAAATGAGTTACAAAGGTAGATTAGTATGTGAGAAAAATCTTTATTATATTATTTAATTGTTTATACCAGGTGTCGCCAATCTTTGCCTCGCAAGCATCATGTGGTTTTTTTATTTCAAGATGCAGCTCTTTAGCTCCATGCACAAGTATATATATATATATATATATATATATATATATGTATATATATATATATATATATATATATATATATATATATATATATATATATATATATATATATATATATATATATATATATATACATATATATATATATATATATATATATATATATATATATATATATATATATATATATATATATATATATATATATACATATATATATATATGTATATGGTTGTTTTCAAGAGTACTACTAAATAGAATTATGACTAAATATAATTAGTACTAAATACAATTACTATCAAATAAACTACAACTAAATAGAACTGCTATTATATATAAATCCAACTAAATATAATTACTACTAAATATAATTTATGCTAATATAATTACAAATAAATATAATTAGTACTAAATATAACTACTACTAAATATAATTACTTATAAATACAATTTCAGTTAAGTATCATTACGATTAAATATAATTACAACTTAATATAATGATTCCTAATTATAATGTTTTAGTAGTACTAAAGTTTAGTTGTACGTTTTAGTAGTACTAAAACGTACCAAAAAATACTATTATAAAGTACTGCTTTTTTTTAAGATTTTTTTTTTTTATGTTATATTTATATACACTCTATGATTCCATTTCAATGTTTTATTTATATAAAAACGTGTTTTTGTTTTATAAATAAAACATAATTATGGTAATGGATAACATACAGTATCTTAAATATAATAAATTCTTAAATATAATAAATTCTATTTAGCATCCGGAAGTGTTTTGTATGCGTTATGTCAATTATAGTATAAGCAACACTTTTACTACAAGGTAAAAAGGGAGGAGGGGCTATTGAATGTTTATGTAATTTTATAGGAGGGTCTCTGGAAGTTTGATAAGTCTTTGACAAGGGGAAGGGGGAGCTGAAAACAGCACAAAAATACCCCAAAGGTTTTCAAATACTCAGATATACATGCAATGTATGCAATGCACAAAAGTATAAATATTTATACATGACAGTATAAATAGAAATTTATGACAATATAAACATTGCGCAGAAGTACACTTCAACATAAGCAATGGGCAAAAATACAATGCAGTCTAAATTAAATAAAACTTGAAAATAAATTTTTATTTTCTTTTTAAGTATTTTTATTCTTATATTAAAATTTCTAGTTCATCTATTTAGAGAATTAATTGGTTTTTGTTAACAGTGACTTTTTATCTATAGTTTTGGCAAAACTAAACATCTTCACTAAAAGTTTAGATATTTGCGAATTTAAAAAAAATAATTTAACTTTCAGTGTGTGGAAAATATAAAATATAAAAAAAAATTGTTAAAATAATTGGTTGAATAAGAAATTTAAGTTCAAACAAATTATGACTCTTATAATCAAATTAAGGCTTTTTTAAAAGTTAGTTTCTTAGCATGAAAGATCAATTTAAAGGCAATTTTGTTGGAGCTTTTCTGCTAAGTCCAAAAATAGTTTTAGATTTTCAAAAAATTACTCCTTATTTAACTATTAATCCATTAAAAAGTTTTAGCAGAAAAAAGATTTTTTTTTAGTTTTCATCTTAAACATTATACTTCCTATAATCAAATAAAAGTTAATAGTTTAATCATAGTCAATAGAATATAACTATGGTCTGGAAGTCCATTGTTTTATGTTATTGTTCGCGTTTATTTGTGTCACGTGATCTAAGAGTGTGCAAAACAAAGTTCAAATAAACATACCAAGTTCAAACAAACCAACAAATTTCATATAAATAAAGTTAACACAGTTTTATTCAAAGCTACAATCAAGTTATGCCTGGCAGGAATTGTGCTTTTCCAACTTGTACAGTTTCTTATACAAGTAAGCACAACTTTATGAGCAGCTTCCGAATTCCAACAAGAAAGTGTGAGTCTGACTGGAAAAATGATATCGTTAAAGTTTTAAATAAATACCCTCAAATAGATAAGTCATTACAGGAGAGGATTGATGCTGGTCGTGTTTATATATGTGAACGTCATTTTAAACCTGAAGATATTGAGTTGACAAGTAATTTTATTTTTAATTCGAATGTTGGTTATCGCAATATAATGTTGCTTTTACAAAACGTTTGTATTGGGCTATATATATATATATATATATATATATATATATATATATATATATATATATATATATATATATATATATATATATATATATATATATATATATATATATATATATCATATATATATATATATATATATATATATATATATATATGTATATATATATATATATATATATATATATATATATATATATATATATATATATATATATATATATATATATATATATATGTATATATATATGTATATATATATATGTATATATATATATATGTATATATATATATATGTATATATATATATATGTATATATATATATATATATATATATATGTATATATATATGTATGTATGTATGGTATGTATATATGTATTTAAGTAATTAAGTATGCACCTTTTGATTCTTAATTACCCTCTGCAAAATGCCTGAGGCTTGTAACATATTTGCAAGGTAAACAGCTAAATGTTTCTAGTTACTGTATGAATCATTAGTTGAGCTATGTGAGAATAACACAACCTAAAGGTTCAGTTATATATACATACATTAAAGGTACTTTAATGTATGTATATATAACTGTTTGTATATGTATATATATATTTATAACTGTTTGTAAATGTCCCTCACTATTGTATATATATATATGTGTGTGTGTGTGCGTGCAGCTTTTAAAGACAAAATATATTGATTGATATACATTTATAGAATCTGGTCGCAAAACATTGAAACTTGGTTCAGTTCCAACATTGAATTTACCTGTGAAATCACATGAAACATTCACAGCTGAGCGAAGAAAACTTGAAAAAGTTTGTATTAATAAACCGAAAACCAAAAAAGCTGTTTGTTACAAGCACTGGGAAGACTTTGTGTCTCGTGCAACAAAATTAAAGAATGTATATAACTGACAGGTTACAATTGACGATAACAAGCAAATTGCTCAGTTTAAAAATTTTGAGATACTATTTTCTCTACCGAAGTGCGAAGTGATTGTAAATGATTCTTTGGAATTTACATGTTTGGTGTTTGGTTGGAAACTTTCAGATGATCATATAATTTACAAAGATTTCAAACAAAGTATGACAAATGTATTGATACAGAACTTACTGCAAAAAATATCATTGCTCAATGTTTGCAAAGGAATTGATCAAGAAATAATAAATTCCAGCGTATTGAATCATGTTATACCTTTTGATTACGACCTTGATACAATATCTCCTATGCAATATAAAGAGTTAAAAAGACATAAAGATTGTAGGGTTTTACATGAAGAAAGTGAATGTGATATTTGTAAAAAAGTTAAAATATTAATGAAAAAACAATTTAAATCTAAAATAAAGATTGATAACACTGCAGCAAAGTTAAAAGCTCCTCTTACAAAAACATCAAAGAAAAGAATTGTTCTTGCATTACAACAAGAACGAGTTAAAACCAAAGAATTAAAAGAAAAAATTTATCGAATGAGAAAAGAAATTGATGCAAAGGGTGTGGAACTCAACAAAGATTTTATTAATGATATAAATCACATTATGGATTGAGCAAAAAAAAGCTTCTACTAATCAGAAGAGTTTAAAATATCATCCTATGATTATCAGAATCTGCTTATCCCTTTTCATGAAATCAGCATCAGCATATGATGAACTTAGGAATTCCATGATACTCACTCTGCCAAGTCGGAGGACTCTTAGTGATTATAAAAATGCAATACGTCCATCAGTCGGGTTCAATCCTAATGTAATTGAAGAACTCAAACTGATCACTAACAACTTAAATGATGTTCAAAGATTTATAGTACTCTCTTTTGATGAAATCAAAATTAGTGAAAATTTAGTGTATGACAAGCACTCAAATGAGCTTATTGGCTTTGTTGATCTTGGAGATCCGCATTTAAATTATAGCACTTTCAAAGACATTGATGACCTTGCTTCTCACTGCTTAGTTTACTATATTAGAGGTGTTGCTTCCGATTTAAAGTTTGCTTTGGCATATTTTGCTACTAAAGGTGTTACTGCAAGTCAAATTATGTCTACTTTTTGGAAAGCAGTGTCTGTGTTGGAATTAGAGTGTGCTCTTAAAGTAATTGCTGCTGTGTCTGATGGTGCTTCTCCAAATCGACTGTTCTACAAAATGCACAAAGGGATGGATAACATTGAATCATTTGTTGTGTACCGTTCAAAAAATATATTTGCAGACCGCTACATATATTTTTTTTCTGATGCACCACATCTTATAAAAACATTTAGAAATTCATTGCATCATTCTGGAGATAGTGAAAATCATACACGTAATTTATGGAATGAACAAAAAGTTATATGGAGTTATTTCGTGAAATTAGTGAATGATGATATTTTCAGAGATTTAAAGTTGCTGCCTAAATTGACCTTAGAGCATGTTCAATTAAATTCTTTTTCTGTTATGAATGTTCGATTAGCAGCTCAAATTCTTAGCAAAAGCGTTTCAAATGTCTTACGCTTAAAGTATCCCACAGAAACCCATGTAAGCACAGATATGTGAATTAATGGATAAATTTTTTGATTGTACGATTACTCGAAATCAAAAGGAAGGATTCTGAAAAGAAAAGAATTTTTGTTGCCCTACCGCAATGTTAACGATGCTCGCTTTGATTGGCTCAAGAACACTTTTCTAAAATACTTTGAAACTTGGCAAGAAAATATTAAAAATAGAACTGGGAATTTCCATCTGGGTGAACGTGAAAAAATGTTTATTTCATTACAAACATACGAAGGTCTCCATATAACTGTGAATTCTTTAATTAAAGTTACCAAGTTTTTATTAACTAGCGGAATACCTTTCGTATTGACTGAACGTTTTACCCAAGATGTCCTGGAGGAATACTTTGGGAGGCATCGCAGCCTTGGTCGCCGAAATGATAACCCTACCCTCATTCAGTTGGGATACCAATCAAATGCTATCAGAATGCAACGATCTGTAGCACCTGTTACTGGAAATACCATAGGAGCTCATATACAAAAGCGTAAAGTATCGTGGAGAATCGCTTCTGATGAACCATTAGGAAAAAGGTGTAAGAGCAAGAAAAAAAAAACAACAGAATCTGAGAACATATGAAAATAATTGATGATATATTTTTAAATACATAATTTTATTAATAAATAAACACATAACAAGTGGCATATACCATGCTTGTTACTCTTTGGATTGTTTTTTAAGAGTTTTACGAAGACCACCCTTATTATTTTTTTGTTTCAATTTTAGTTTATATTTGGTGGTAATGTCTTTAGCCAAAGAAAATGCTCGCACTCGAAAATAAAGTTTGACCATATTTTCTAAAAGGTTTTTACTAACATCATTATCAATGTCAACTCCGCATCCTGTTAAGATAGAATTATAAAAGCTGTATCTTTCAGTAGTTCCATAGTCATCCTGTTAATATCAATTTCTTGCAAATGATTAATATTTGTTTCATTTTGAAATTGAATTTCAGCTTTTACAAATATTTGCTGGCATTCATTATTAACAGCTGTTAGTCCACCACGATTTTGTGCCTCAATCAATTCCTGATCTGTAGAATTTTTGCTAATAGCGTTATTTAATATTTTTATTATATCTTGATTTTCATTGGATTTATAATTCAGGCTATTTTTCGATTTCTTAATGAACTTTCTGAAAACATACCCAGCCAGATATTGCAAGGCACCAATTTTATCATTTGTTATATTTTTTATTTGTTTTGCTTCCTTGTTGGGCATTCTTTTGAAGTATGCAAGCACCTTGTCAGCCAGTTGTGTTGCTAAAAGAGTACTATTGGGTTTTCCTAATTCAGGAAAGTAAACATCTGCATTGATTACTATTTTATTATAAAAGCTGGAATAATAACTCTCTGCATTGTTTGTATTAATCAAAATGTCATAAATCTTTTTTACATCTGCGTAAAGTGCTTCTGTTAATATGAAGTTATAACACTTGAAACATTCTCGTCGAGTTAAGTTGTAACAGTTATCCTCAGATAGATTTTTTTGTGACTCCAGAACTAAATCACTTAGTATTATGCTACTCATTGTATTTCTACTTGTATCAAAGGTCTCTTTTAGTTGTAAATGTTTACAGTTTCGGTGACAAGTAAGTCCCCCTTTTGATTTACAAATGTTCCCACAGTCGTCGCACTTAAAACTGCCTGGTGTTGACTCCTATAAGAAAAGAAATCTATAGTAATGTATATTTACATAGCTTATTTTTTTAATTAAATATAGTTCTTGCATTAATTTGCTTACCTCTCCAACATCTACAATATTTGCAATAATAAATTCTTCATCTAAAAGACCTTCATCCTGAATATCTATCAATAAATCTGCAGACTCCTGTGTTAAAAACTCGTTATTTGACGCCATGATATAAATGTTTTGCACACTCTTTGGTCACGTGATTTAAAAACTATTCATTTCAACATGCGCAGCGTAACAAAAAGAAATAACAATGGACTTCCAGACCATAGTTATATTCTATTGACTATGGTTTAATATGTTTGTTATTTTTCTACTTTTTTAAATTTATTTATGTTAACTTATTTTATTATTTTTTCAAACTGATTGATTTTTTTTTCATTTGGGTTAAATAAGTTTTCATACTTTCATGATTAATTATGTACTTATACTCTTGAAGTGCAAAAGTACAATTTTCAATTTCAATTTCAAAAATCTTTATTTTTTAAATTTCTAAATCTCTAAAAGAGAAGCCTTATACTGAGGAGACATTGAAAAAAGCATTAGATAATATTGAAAATGCTGAGTTAAGCTTAAGCTCATTTCTACCTCATACCAAAATCAATTTTTCCAACTGAAAATAAAATAAGACTTCAGTAGTTGGTAGTCACATTACAACAAAAAACATTTTGGTTTGGCCAAAAAAAACATTTTGGTTTGGTAAAGCCATGAATTATTGGAATTTTAACGAAACTAGTTTCAATGGTGACAAAGTCAGAGCATCCACTCGTTTTAACTGTAGTTTACTTTTTTTTAAAATAAAAAAAAAGTAAACTACACTGTTCCTAATTGTGCTGACCGATTCCTTCTATTGCCTTTTGTTGTTTACAAATCAAAGAAATTTAGTTGTTTACAAATCAACTCTATAGTGATTAGATTAAAGGAGTTTTGAAAACACTGGGCTCTTCTTAAAAATGAAAAGCTTGAGATGCAAGTTTTATAAAAATCTTGTTAAAAATCAAGTTGCAGTTTGTGGCTCTGTGAGCTCTGCTTCTGTTTGCACAAAAAGTTGCAAAGCCTAGTTTATAATTTTTTCTTTATTATTTCAAGCTTAAGCTTGCTTATGCTTATTTATTATTTTTAGTTTTTTCTGTTTGTATTATTATCATGTGTATATTTTAACATTAAAAATAAAGATATTGAATTTATCAATTTATCTTTTTTTTTCATATATTTTAAACTGTCCGCCTTTGGGGACAATTTTCAAATATGCTGAAATTTTTTTAAAAAATGAAATTTTATTTTAAATAGAAACTTGAAATTTTTAAATCTTTTTTTACACTGTTCAATTGCTCTAATAAACAACTATATTTCAGAAAAAAAATCCTAAAAATTCTCAATATTAAAAAAGTTATTTTTAGTTAATGAGAATTTTAAAGCTTTTTGTGAAGAGTGTCTGCATTGCTTTTACTCTACCTACTTGTTTTTTAATAAAAATAACATTAGTTAAATTCTAGAAAAAACTTTTTGTTATAGAAAAAAAAATCAAATATGTTATATGCAATGCAAAATAAACTGAGAATTAAACTTCAATTTTAATTGTCAAAACTTGAGAATTAAAGGAAAAGTTCATCAAGTTAAAACAACAATAACAAAACAACCTATAATTTACTTTCAGACTAAAAAAAAAAGTTTAATAAAATAAAAACTATAAAACAGTATACAAACAAAGGGTTCTACAACAACATTATGTCAAAAAGATTTAAAAATACAGAAATATAATATGAGTATTCTTTAGCAATTATCTATAACTAATGCAATAATTTAGTTTATATATTTACTTAACTTAACGCAACTTTATTTTCCTTATGAATCTGTTCAAAATGCAATAGGATATTTTACACTTTGATTATTATCTATAATTTGTTTTAAAATTTATTAAAAAAATGTAGAACAAATAATACATATTTACAGTAACATTATTCACATGTATAATAATATATAATGTATACAAAAAACGAAACTAAAAATAGAAAGAAAAATATGTTTATGAAAATTATAAAATAAGGGGTTATTGTTTAGAAACGAAACGTTTCTTGTGCTGATTTATAATTAATTCTGAAAAGAATTTGCTACTAATTTAATTCTGAAAAGAATTTGCTACTAATTTAATTCTGAAAAGAATTTGCTACTAATTTAATTCTGAAAAGAATTTGCTAATTCTAATTTGTTCTATTTGATTAAATTAAAAAGAATTAGCTTTTAAGTATATTGCTGATACAGGTTTGCTTGTGCAGCTTTGATTTGAGCTTTTAGCTTGAAACCTTTGATTTTAAAATTTATAAAAATTGTTATGTTATTATCAATCAATTTGTTTTTCTATTGATATGATAGATTTAATATTTTTGTCTTTAAAAATTTATTTTAAAAAACAAATCATAAAAACTATGATAACTTTTATTATAAAATGATGTTATGAAAAAAAAGCGCCAAATGTTTCAACTCTATGGACAATGTGTAGTCAATAAACAATTATTATGCACTTAGCAACCTGTAAAATGGGCATTATTGTGATACCAAGAAATATCTAACATCTTGGTAACAGGCTGGAGAGAAGGGGTTTCATTAATGAAAGCACAATTACCCCAAACTATTTTTTAAATAGTTCAAGTTTTTTTTTTCAAAATGGCATAGATGCAGTGTTATAACATTTTATTATTTGTGATTGTTACGATTCAAGACATTGTTTTTAAAATAGTTAAATATTCAATAATAAATAATAAATTTAAAATAGTTGATAGTACAAAATTCTTACAACAAAAGGCATACGATAAAGACAAACCAAAGTAAAAAAATAACCCTAACAAAAATTTTTATTGTTAACTTGATAAAAACAATATAGTAGTACAAAATGACAATAACATGAACATCCGTAAAAACTGGTTTTATAATGTGTTACTAGTAAACATTATTTTTATCTTTTTGTTGTGTTAGTTGTGTAGGATAAGCATTATAAAAAGTAAAGTTTTTGCATGACTATCATTTAGATTCTTCAAATCCACTAGATGTTGCTAGCAGAGCTAATGTCAATAAAGGTAATAAGAGTAGTTCGAACTTTAATTAATCTTAAATAAAAAGTTTTTTAGAAATTTAACTTTACACTACTTTTTATTTTTTACAGATTTAATAATATAATAATAATTATATAATAATAATAAATAAATCAAAAGTTACAAGCAGATGATGATGATGATGATGATGATGATGATGATGATGATGATGATGATGATGATGATGATGATGATGATGATGATGATGATGATGATGATGATGATGATGATGATGATGATGATGATGATGATGATGGTGATAATGATGATGATAATTGATGTTTAGATATATCAGAGGTATGCACAGCACTAAAAAATTATTATCTGAAATATTATGGCAAAATAAATGAACTTCGACCACTATTAAAAACACCTGCTAGTGTTGATCTAATACAAAAATTTGTTGATCTATGTATTGTTGATGCATATAATGCTCAAATTGATGTTGTTTGTAGTAATGAACGAAAGCAATTTCTTAAAAAGCAAATGAGTTATACACCAATTCCATATAGTGAAGTATTTATGAGCGAAAAATCAGTAATATTAATATCTGGAATAGCTGGTATTGGAAAAACATGGTTGCTCAGAAAGTGTTTGCTCGATTGGTCGAATAATTTAATTTGGAATAATGTTGAACTTGTGTTTTATTTGGAATGCAGGAGGCTTAATCAATATCAAAATGTTTCGAATATTAATGAATTACTAAATGTTTTCTATAAACATATTTTAAATGATTTTGATATTAGTAAGCATACTACATTGTTTATTATTGATGGATTAGATGAATTTAAATATTTAAATGAATTATTAAATCCAAATTTAAGTTGTACCTTTCCGTTTGTTAATGCTTTAGCAGAAATTCAAAGTTATAAACATGTAGTTGCAGGTAGAGTTTATGCAATTGATAAATATCAAAATATATATCCAGAGCATATTGATAAGTTAACCATTCAAATAATGGGGTTTAACCAAAATGGAGTTGAAAATTATGTAGAAAATCATGTTATAGAAGAAAAAAAAGAAGTTGTTAAAGCAACTTTAAAGGAGTCTCCAATTGCAAAAGTTATGGCAACTGTTCCATTTTATTTATCTTTCATGTGTAAAATTATTAGTGATTCAAGCAAAATATATACAACTTCTTTCTTGACGATGACAGAATTGTATGCAAATATTTTTTTATTTTTTTTGCAAAAACACATTATCAAAAACAATGGATCAGTTTATGAAATGATGGCAAATGAAAATAATAAGAAATATGTATTAACTATTTGTAAGATAGCTTTTGAATTGTTTATTGAAAACAAATTTGTGTTTTCAAAAGAAGAAGTTTTACTATTTATCAATAACTTTAATGAAGTTGATGAAAGTCTTTTTGGTTTTATTGAAAGGGTTGAAACACATCTTGGTTATTTTTACCAATTCGCACATTTGACAGTGATGGAGTTTTGTGCATCTGTGTATGCATACAATTGTTTAAGAATTGAAGAGATTATGGACAATAAAAAGCTGAAGAGTTGTTTATCAATGATTTGTGGATTAGGCAATAAAAAAAAATATATTTTATTAAAGTTTCTTGTTAACCTGAATCCTTCTAAACAATCAAAAGAGGAATCTTCACTTTCGGTTTCTATTTTGGGTAAGTAAATAGTTTGTTATAAAACGTTGGTGCCTTTTTAATAAATATACATATGTACAAAGAATAAATTTTGTTTCATGTCATTATTTTTTTAAAGAGAAAAGATATAGATATCAAAATATTTTTATCATAATATTTTTTATATTATTTTCTTTTAAGCTATTTTTTTTTTTTTTTTTTTGTTTTTGATTATTTGCTATTATATATCTTTCATTTTCTACATGATTTACTTTTTTACCTTTCATTCTCTACATCTACTTTTTTTTTTTATTTGGTGTGTTTAACAATATTTAGCAACTGTTTTAGGAAATTTTAAATAAATATGTCAATGTTCTTTTTTTCTGCACAAGTTGCTTGACACAAATCTTTATGTAAGTATATTCTTTCATAAAATATATCCATTGAAGTACTTTATGTAGTTAAGTCACTTTTAAAATATTATAGCATCTGTATGATAATTTGTTAACTATGAAATATTTCCATTAAATAGTCAGGTCTGTGAATTATGAAAAGACGAAAAAAATTAAAATGATAAATTTTGCGGTCTTTAAATATAAATGTTTGTAGGGAAAAAACCCAGACCGAAGATTTTTTTTTTTTAATTATCTTAAAATCACAATCGCTCATTCAAAGTTTAATAAGATTTTAAATTAAAACGTTTTTTAGGTGAAATGAACATTATATTTTAACAATATGATCTGTTCTGTTGGTTTATTGGCAATTTTCCATAAATATAAGCTATTTCTTGGTCAGAATTCCAGAATTTTTTGTAAAAATTGATAAAAATATTGTGTTTTGACAACTATATATAGGTAATATACGTCTGAACCAATTAGAACTAGGATCAGTAGTAAATTAAGGAACTTTTTTTTAAAAATTTGAACTAAATTTATGTTAATGCTGATGAGCGAAATTAATCTAAAGACTCCAAAGTGTTCTTTAGATTCACTATTACGGGAAGTAAAAAGGTTTTGAAAATTATATAAAAAAAAGAAATGTTTCATTAAATATTATAAAAACTTGAAGCGAAAAATTATACCATCTAAATCTTTTGTTTGGACATAATACGCTGATATAATCATGCTAATTCCAAATAAAAGTGTTTGAATAATTTGTAAATCGCTGAGTATAAAGCATAAAGTAAAGCATGAATAAATTGTTTATTTCACTTTTTTTTTTTTTTAATAAAAATAAAAAGCTTTTTTTATACAGATTTTACATTTCATAACTGAAAAAAGTTAAAAAGTAAAAAAAAGTTAGCCTAAGCAGTAAAATTTATTTTAATTTACATTTTTAATTACTTTTGATGTAAATAAATTTGTTTAATAAATGTTTTTTTTATGCCTTGCTTGTATTTTTATTTATCTTATTTTTCTTCTTTTTCTTTGTCTTAAAGTAAAATCTTCTGCTTTAAGATCTCATTACCTTAAACTTATTGATCAAACTTGTTTTTTTTATTGCCAATAACATTCTTCTTTGTCATTTGTTAATACTGCTGTTTGTTTTCTACAAAACTCTGCAATTCCTTCTTTTTTCACTATTGATCTTCTCAGTGTTTGATTAATAAAACCAGTTTCTTATTTTTTGTACAGAATTACCATATATGTATTTATACTATATATATTTATCACATAATTTAAACTTTATGTAGGTTTGTACTTTTTTAAACCCTTTAGCTGGTGTAGAGCTAATGAATATAAAAGAAATAAACCAGTTGTTTTTTTTGATTAATAATTTTTTAAATAATTCTTTAATTATTATTTTTTTCTTTGTAACATTATTATCTGTGTGTGTGATCTTCTATGTCTTTATAACTTAATAAAATTAAGTTATAAAGACATAAAAGTTAATAAAATTTTCAATTAAAAAAGTAAGTCTGCTTTTGGTTCAACTTTATTTAACATTGATAAGATTGATTACATTTTTTGGAGCTCACCAGTGGGTTTTTCTAAGCTGCTAGTACCTGTTTTTAATTAAAGAAGATGTGAAGATAAAATAATAAAAAAATAGTTAAAAAGCTATCGGTCTAACAAATATATTATGACTAAAATTGTTTGCAACTGAGTTGAGTGCAAAATTTATTTCAGTAAATATTTATCCTGTATATTAATAATGGAAATATGATAATAGTAGTTGAAGTAACTAAAAAATATGATAATAGTAGTGAAAGTAACAAAATAATGATTATATAATAATTCATTTTCAATGCTTTTAGCGCTTGAGTACTTGTCATATCCATAAAACATTTTAGCACATTTCTTGTAACGAGTCTGGCTTTGTTATAGTATTTGCACTAAAATTAGTCCATAGAGCCACAAAAACAGAGGCAGTAGTTCATATATTGTTGCACTTAAACCTTAATCAAGTATATCTTGAATATTCTAATTAATGTTTGTACCCATATAAAGACATTTCATCTCTCGATTTATATCAGCATTATCAAACAAACCATTTTCTATTATGTGACCCAGATACTTGAATTTGTCAATGAAACTAATTAACATCCAGCTAAGGTAAACAGTGCAAAGTTGCACTACACATTCTTACATCTCTGTTTTGGTTTAAATACCATGCACACCGTTTTTTTGTTGTTGTATTAAATGGCATGTTAATGGCAGTGGCTTCAACATTCAATGCAGTTAATAATTTTGCAATGCAAACCAAGATAAAGCGCTCAATACAATATCGTTGGCATATGCCAAAAGATTCAAATTTTACCTATGTAACATCAATATGCATATTCGTAATATTGAAAATCAGTGTTCTTATATAAAATATGAACAAGAACAGTGAAAGATTTCCACCTTGCTGTACACAATTACTTATGTTAAAGCTGTCAGAGTTTACTTTCTGCCATCTGACAAACATAGTTTGATTCTTGTACCAAAATGCAAGTAGATAGGCAATATTTATGGCAATACCCTGATCAATTAATTTAAAAAACAGTTTCCAATAATTAATGGTATAAAATCTATAAAGCATGCATATACATGGCTTCCTCTAGAAATAAAGTATTTAACTGTCTTTTTTAAACAATATGTACAAGACATTGTGGAATGACTTTTCTTGAAACCAAACTGAAAATCATCAGCATTCTCATGAGATATGATTCTTTCTAATCAAATGCCTTCAAATATTTTAGAACAAGCCGGAGAGTCCTCCATATATAAATGATTCCATAAACAAATCATCTGGTCCAGCAGATTTTCTCTTTTTTTGCTTATACAAAGGATTAGTTGCATCTATAATAGTAACTCTAACAGGTATGTCCAGTAATGAAGAATGCACTTTCTGTTCAACCTGTATTCTATGCTGGTTATCATTAAGTGAATTAGATATTGTTTGGAAATGTTTCTTCCATATAGTGGCAATGTCTTTGTCATCAGTAACTCTGCCAATACTAGCAATATGATTGGTTGCTTTAACATTATTGATATTCTCTGTAACCTCTGTCAGCTTTAATTTGCTCAGTATGATTTTTACAGTACCTAAAAGCAAGTTTAAATACTGTTCAAGTTTTTTTCATTCTTTCAAAGATAATTATATGTTTAGGTTTTTCATCAATTACCCATTGTTTTTTTCTTAACTAAAGCTCATTCATACAATATGTAAGGCACTCTCTTTAAGTTTTCCTACTACCACTACCATTTTCTACTGAAGCTGCTACATCTCTATATGCTGATGCTTAAATTACTTTATCTTTGTTTAACATTGTTTAATACAATCTTTTGTTGAATCTGTCTAAGATTATGCCTTCTTTTTTATGTCACACCACATATCCATCTGTTTAGTCACACCACACATTCATCTGATTTTTTTTTACTTTTTACAAATACTATTTCATAAATGCTAAAGTTTATATAACAATAAAAGGATATTGTATGCCTGCATCTAAATAAATAGTAATCAGATATTTTTATATCCATAATATGTATGGAAATATCTAGAAAACTTTTAGCTTTTCTGAAATGAATGTTTGGAAGCTTTTATTACTTCTCTTCAATTTTAATTCAAGCCTCATTATACTCCACATTTTTCACCATCTTAAGCAGTTGCTTATTAAACAATAATGATTTTTTTTCATCTTTTTTACAAGAACATCTCTCTTAAGAACAAATTTGACGTTTGGTTCCAGAGACTTTTGGTTAGTCTTCAGTTTACTAAATCTTGTATCTTTCTCAGATGTTTGGTTTCAGAAACTTTTGGTCTTCAACATTGTCGTTAACTAAAGTCTAACATTTAATCTCTAGTTCATGTGTTTTTTTTACTTCTTCTCAGAATAAAGCAGATTTATTTGCAAAGAAATCTTATCCTTATTTGACTCTTGAATATAATAGACATACTCTTTCTAACACTTGAACAGATTAAATCATTGTTATCCAAATCACTCTTCCAATGAAAGAGTTAATTCTTAATTAAACACTTCTACAGTTTGTGCTCCATAATAGATTTTGATCATAGTTCAAATAGTGTTCTCTAAAACTCTCTTCAATTGTTGCTAAACTTTTATAATGTGCTAATTAAGTGGTTCTAATTTTTTAAAACTCTAGAAAACACTTTGACCTCTCCAACTATCCTACAATTAGCTTTTGCTATCTTATTAGTTACTTCATATAAAGATTTTGAGATTATTAAATGTTTTTTTTTAACTGCAGTAGTAAAGTTGTTATTTAAGGCTTACCATCTTCTTTATTCTAAGTAACTTTACGGGTACCACAAGGTTCTACCTTTGCTCCTATATTGTTACTTATCTACAATAACGATCTTCATTAAATCTAAAGTAGCTCTATTTTATGGCGACTCAACTTAATACTCTTCTCTTGACAAAAAGTCTTCACTTTTTTCTGTAACAGCCTAAGGCTTGCAGTGGCTTGTGGATTTTAAGTCTGGATTTAAAATCCACAACTTTTATTTGACAACAAAACTGATTTATTTAGTGCAAAAAAATATTGCGATTTTGTTGGCATTCCTATATTGTTATACAGTACCCTTCTTACCCT